GTATCATCTGCTGATTTGTTAATCGTAATGAACTGTCCAATTGAGTCTACGATTTAATAAATGCTAGTTATGAATTTCATATCTGCATATTCAATTAAAGTATTGATTTATGTTTTAAATTAGATTAAGTGGCTGTCAAAAATGGCAATTTTCTAACATTAAATCAGAAACTGTTAAAAGGATAATTAGAGAAAACAGCTCGCAAGCTCTTTTAGATGCAATGATCTCAGTTAATTCTGTCAAGAAATTTCCTTGCTCTCTGAATATGAGAAATGAACAAACTTTCAGCCTGTATAATAAGTCACAAACCAGAACTGATGATATTATTTCTCCTGTCTTTATTTGTGGAATGTATCACCCATGACCGTAAAGAAGTTTTCTGCATTAGAGTTGCACTAGTTTAATTACATTGTCTTCCATTTTCTTTATGTTCTCAACGTTTAACATTCTCCCAGGATTTATTATAAGCTTTTTTTTTAACTAACTGTTCTAAAAGGCAAATTTTATAGAAATTCTGAATTCTAAAGAATAAGCATATATTTTAGACTTTTGTAAAATATAGTAGACCCTTCGTATCTGCGGGTAACATGCACCATGGCTAATCTTTCTTCATGAATACCAAATACAGCAAAGGTCCAATAACCTGATACATTTAGGAGTTTAGCTATGCAGGATTATCGGGATAAAACAGTATAATGCTAAAACACTGTTCTCTTGTTTTTGCGTATGTATTGCAAATGTAATGAAAAATTTTACGCGAATGTATTGCGGAATTAAATAAAAAGTGCATATAGCAATTCGGCAAATATATTTAATCGGTCACACTTATTAATAAAGAAATTTACTCATAATTTGATGATTTCGGTTTGGATATATATATATTATTCGGTCTCCATGTATATATTTTTTACTGGCGACAAGTGATCTTGGTTAAATCTTATTTCTTTAGCTACGAAGAGTCTCAACACACTTTTTGAATTAGAATGTCATTACTTAATTATTTTGCTATTACTTCATTTCAATCACTTTCAATACATTTAATAACTCATGTTTTTTAAAGCATTATAAATGGATTGTTCGAAAGAACACTTTCAACTAATCTCAACTGCTCAGCGGGATTTTTATCAAACATTTTGCAACATTATGCCCTTTACATATTTACAAGCAATGACAGCCGTGAAAATTCATTTTTCATATTGAAGGCAACAGTCAGAGTTTAATAAATTTTGCGTAAACGAGTTTCTGTACTTGCAATTTTAAGTTTTGAATAAATTCTTGATCTGTAGATTGAATCAAAGACATAACACGGGGGGAAGGTATAATTCAGTAAATTTTCCTGCTACGAAATCAGAGGCTGTAAGGTATGTTAAAATTGTCCAAAATTTAGAAGTATAGGATAGGCCAAGCTTTTTAAAATTATTTTAAAAGCTGATGCTAAATAGTTATAATATCCCAAATGCGCGAAATTTTTAAAATCATATTTATGTATATATGGATATTTGAATTTAACGAATATTCTCTATTCGTATAGAGCTAATATTAAATTTTAATTGCAAAAAAAAATAATTATTATTGTTGCGAACTAATTTACAAGATCATTTAAATTCAAAGAGCATATGTAAATTAAGTGCACATATCTAAAACCATGAAAAACTATATTATACATATATAGATATAGTAGATATCATAGTGTAATTGCGTAGAAAATACTGGGCTGAGGGTGAAAGCATACTGACGAAGCTAACAAAAACTAGATTTTGACGAATCTCCAATCTTTATTTCACACATATCAAATTATTTTAGTAGACATTCCTCCAATCATAGCTAAATACGATAATTTTTATGTACACTGGTTTTAAACGCACGACGTAAGCATCTTAAACAGGAAAGCATAAGCAACGCCGAGATGTTGGTAAGGCAGAAGTTAAGAAAAGGAGTGACGTAGTTGCTTGCAAAGCAGTATTCATACGAAGTAGGTTCATAAGTATAGCTAAACTGTGATTACTTAATTTTAGGTTTTAGTTCCATTTTTCAAGCAGCGTTTTGTAATTTGGAAAGATCTTGAATTTGGGAGAACAGAAAATTTTGAGATCGCCAACCGCTTCTTAGAGCAGCCATCGTATTTTGTTATATCTTACATATTCCACCCCTTCAAAAGAAAGGTTGGGAGAGCATTGAGATCGTTTCTTAGAGCAACTATCGTATTTTGTTATATTTTACATATGTACATGTATCATATATGTATCCGTTTTCTAACGTTTACTACAGCAGCAAATGCTGTATACTGGTTGAATCTGAATAAGGGGGCAAAACTTTACGGGGTGATAGAATGCAGCTATACGAGCAATACTCGTCATAGAATGTATCGTCGAAACGCAAACGGTGAAAAATTAAAAGGTAGTTTTTTACTGAAACATTTGAAGAAATAACACAAGAAAGAGAGGAGATACTTCAGAAAACATTTTATTAACAGGAATGTAATTGATGTACATGTTCAAAGAAACTGCTAAGACTTCCGCTATCTGTAATGCAGGATTCACATTTGTACGATAGGAAATGAGGCACATTTGAGAAAACACCTGTCATTTTCCGAGTATCGCCGGCAACAACGGCGAACCTGACGACTAGATCCATAGTCGTTTCAAGGGGCATTCGTGGATTAGGCTTTTCATATGGCCCCACAGGAAAAAATTCAAAAATACGAGAGATTCGATGATCTTGGTGGCTAAGCTATGGGTCCACTTCGAGCAATCCATCGCCTTGGAAAATTTGTGGTTCGTATAACAGCCATCGTCTCGGCCATCGTAAAAACATCGCCTCGGCAATCTACAGTAGTGAAAACCGTTGGATGCGAGGACCGACCTTTTTTATTCCATCTACAGCGCCACCTAGCAGCTCGCCGTTTGCCCAGACTTTATATGACGAATATTGCTTATATGGCTGCGGTCTATTAGCCCGTAAAGTTTTCCCCCCTTATTCAGATTCACCCTGTATATCGCAATATTAATGTAACATACCTAAATAGGTAAAATTGAATTGATAAATTCCAACAGCATGATATTATCAGCTTTAAATGGAGAAATAATGCACTGTGGTGCCCGCCGAAAGCATCGCGGCAAAAACATCGCGGACGAAACGTCGCGGAGAAAACAACGCAAGCCGAAAACGTCGTAGTACAAGACATCGCGGAGGAAAAGAAAGCAAAGAGAAAACAAACAAATATTATGGTCGAAAATAAAGCAGTTTAAAAACATCGTCGTCGAAAATATCGTGGTAAAAAATAAAGCATCTACAAATCATCGCATGACGATAACATTGCACACACGTGTTTTTCAGGTTTTAAAAGTAAGTGCATTTTCGCATAATGATTTGGGAGCGCAAGAAAAAAAATGATATTTTTACTTCCATATTTCATATTTTTGAACGAACTAATAAATTTTGTTTATAAAAGTAAAAAGGAAACTTACTCATTTAAAAACTGAAAACTGAAAAATACTGAAAACTAAAAATAAAAACTGAAAATGAAAAGACAATTAATGGAACTTACAGCACTTAATTTTAAATTTACATAGTTAATTACAAATTTTATTATTAGTCCAAAGGGATTTCAGTCCCGAAGGACTATTGCTTTCGTTTTGGCATTTTGCGTCGGACTCATAATAAACGTCGGTTCACTTTTCAAACTGTTGCCACAAAATGTTAGAGTCCTGCATTATATTTGAAGAAATTAAATAATGAAAAATCTGCATAAATGATTGTCTATTTCTCGCATTGTGATAAAACAATGGTACATAGAGCCATCGAATTTTGAATGACGAATCCTCCTACTGCGAATATGGGCATCTGAAATCCCAAATTTGGAATTTGTTTTATTATAGATTTTATATTTTGTAAAACTTTAACGAATTTTTGATTTACAAACTCAATGCTTTAAAAGCGAGAAATGGCAACGTTATATAGAAAAAAAATACTTTTATCTCCAGCTCGCGAGACTGTGTATATCGGAAATTCTAAAGATATGCTTAATTTAACATTATTTTGCGATATTGCTCTTGAACTGAATTTTATGGTTTAAGTGCAAAGAACATGATATTTAATAAATAAAGGTAACACTCAAAACGTTAAAAAAACGCCCCTTTGAACGTAATTTAAAATCTGAAAAATTTCAGAGTTTATTATTTATTTTTTTTAATAAAGCTTTGCGGATAATTTTTCATGAAAAATACAGTCTAAAAATGTTTAGTAAAAGGAAGATAATTAACTGCAGCAGGTTACCTCTATACAAATTGCTTAGTTAATTAGTACATTATTTTCTTTCACGTTTGCTAACCTGTTATTGTTTAATGAAAATTATATCTTGTTTTACTTCCGTTTATTCTTAAATTGTCGTTAACATTTTCACCCTTTTTCTTCTTGCACTACCAAATCATTATGCAAAAATGCATTTACAACTTTTAAAACCTGAAAAACGCATGTGTGCGATGTTATCTTCACGATGTTTTTAAACTGCGAAATTTTTGAACCGCTTTATTTTCGATGACGATATTTTGTGCCACGATGTTTTTAGAACTACGATGCTTTCTTTTCCCTCACGGTATTTTGTTACCTCGACGTTTTCACCTTGCATTGTTTTCTCCGCGACGTTTTCGCCTGCGATGTTTTTGTCGCTATGTTTTCGGCTGTAACCGCAAATACTATGTAAGTAATAAAAATTTGAAATAGCGCATACTTTTTTTTTTTCGTCGTTGTTGTGATGCCATGAAAAGAAAATAGCGCTTTCGAAATGATGTTGCTTCACCATATTATAACTCATATTCACTTCGCACGACTTTTGTATTTCAAAAATTATATATCTCTGAAACGCGACAAACCTCGGATAAATGAAATCAATTTAAGTACAGACAGGTGCATGTATGGGTTTTTATCGATGTTTCGGTATTGTATTTGTTGTCTTAGAAGTCTTATTATGCTCTTTTAACGCCTTTTTTCTTTTATACTAGGTGATACTGGGAAAGCATATTTACATTCAAAACAAATGTGAAGAAGAGCCTGATTATGCACTATCGGAGTTTGTAGTGGATTGTCTAAACTGGCACAACATATTCAGAGACAAACACGGTGTGCCTCATCTCATTCTCAACAAGCAGGTAAATACTGCTGATTTTAAAACTTTTTTTTTGCCTGGAATGCTTCAGATTACAACCTTATCGCTTTAAAATGCTCACCTTTGATTCGACTCTTCCGTACTTTTGAATATTAAAATAATTGCTAAAACCCCTAAGTAATTGGAGAAATACAAACCCTTTCAAAGTTACCTTGTTATATTTTAGGTTAATAATCCAAAATATTTTCACAAATTCTTTAATAAGTATAATAATGATTTTATTTATGATTATCTGAGTAATCACAAGTTTAAAGACTCCATGAAACTCCTGCAAAAATTAGTCGAAAATTAATGAAAAAAAAGATTGCAGAATTAATGTTTCTCAAAATGAATATATATTTGATGCCCACCTTGATAAATCCAACAAAGCATAAAGGGTACTCAGACCAAGGAAAATTTATTATCAAAGACAATACATTGTTATCAAAGACAATACATTATTATCAAAGACAATACATTGAGAATATAATGGAGGATTATATTTGAAGGGGGTAATATAGGAAACTAACTTACAGTTTAAGAATGTGATTCAAAGAATTTTTAAGAAAACTTCTCCATAAGGATTAATGATAAAATTTTTATGGGCTTCATATTTGTGTTATTAGATATTTTCTCCCACCTTTCCTCATGCGCTTTAAAAGGAGAAGTATATAAGGTATTTTCTCCCACCTTTCCTCATGCGCTTAAAAGGAGAAGTATAAGGTATTTTCTCCCACCTTTCCTCATGCGCTTTAAAAGGAGAAGTATATAAGGTATTTTCTCCCACCTTTCCTCATGCGCTTTAAAAGGAGAAGTATATAAGGTATTTTCTCCCACCTTTCCTCATGCGCTTTAAAAGGAGAAGTATATAAGGTATTTTCTCCCACCTTTCCTCATGCGCTTTAAAAGGAGAAGTATATAAGGTATTTTCTCCCTCCTTTCAGCTTATCTTCGTGATGTGATTGGAAGTATACTCGAAGAGTAATCGAGAGGTCCAGGATTCGAGTCTCGGCGAGGGCATTGCATATTTATCAAGTCTTCTGCTTCGAACCCACCCCCCAAAACTGGCTTTTCTAAAGCGTTATTTTATTCATATAAGTCGCCCTGGTGACAAAAGAGTTTAGAGGAACTGTCACCCTTGTCTGTAATTTTCAATTTTCAGACTACAGGAGAGATTTCCAAATATCAACTCATCGAAAAAAAAAAAACTTATTCATTTTCGTATACCATCTTTATAAAAACAAGTTAGAAGAAAAATGAGAAATATTAATGCTGCATTCAACTTATCCATAAAATGATAAGAAAATCATTATTTACTTGCAATTTTATCCACGAAACAGATCTGCTTCATATTATTTTATACAAAAATAATTTATAATATGGAAATTAAAATTAAAAATGAAATAAATAAAAAAGTAATATTTGATTCATTATTTGAAAAGTTTAGTTTTACACGTTATTCAAAACTTTCGAGTTCTAATTTAAACTTATACAGCCTTTAAGGATTTACATGGATTTTCTGCGAACACTATTTGAAAACTACCTGTACGGAAATAACATACTTCACAAAAAGAAGAAAATAATTAAAATTTGTTGCCTAATAATTGAAAAGTATTTCTAAACTGATATCATAATTAAAGTTTTCATTTTCTTTTGTTATTTATTTCGGAAATCACATGAATATTGAAGTAATCTCTTCTAAAATCGAAATATATGTTCGTATCCAATAAATTAGCTTTACTTCTGAATACAAATGAATTTGTCTTAGATTTTGTTTCTATTTATCTAAATTAGTTTCGAATGAGTTAACGGGTAACATTTAAAACATGAGAAATTACTGTTGCAGTCAAGTATTTTAACTAATTATTTTCAAGTTAATAATTTCACTGTTTTTTCTTATATTTTTCTCAACCTAACGTAATTAATATTCTTTTAGCTTTGTGGCATGGCACAGTTTTGGGCTAACCACCTCGCACATACAAATACATTCGGTCATCGGAATCTGAGAGACATAGGTGAAAATCTTTTCTCAAAATGGTCATACATTCCTGAATTTGACATAACAGGTATTACTTTTGTTTCATGTTATATAGTTTATTATTCTTCATTCCATCTATTGTTTTAAAATGTATCTGGTAAAATCGTATTCTTTTATAGCAACCGTTTGATTTCATTGTAATAAATCTCTAATATGGACAACACATACAGTGGATGGACAAAAATATGAAAACACCTTGTGAAATGCATGTTTGAAAAGAAAGATTGATTTTAATGAAATATGTAGGTGGCGCTGGCGTTTTTGACTATTGACGCCACCTATACAACTTCGTAAATATGCTAAACAGTTCAGTTGTTGTCGGAGTACTGTTATGTGAGGTTGTCATTGCATTATGTCAGAGTTAACAGACTTCGAACGTGGGCAAATTGTTGGAGCACGTATGGTAGGTGCTTCCGTAAGCAAGGTAGCCGAGGTGTTTAGTGTTTCAAGAGGTACTGTATCGAAGATTTATTCCGCATATTTGAAAAGCGGAAAAACATCATCTGCTAAATCACAGCGCGGACGAAAGTGTGTCCTGAGTGATCGTGACAGACGATCATTAAGGGCAATTGTGACGAAAAATAAGAAGACCACAGCTGCAAAAGTTACTGCTGAAATGAATGTTGTGTTACCGAACCCTGCGAGTACCAAAACAATTAGAAGGGAGCTTCATAAACAGGGAATTGCTGGCCGTGCTGCAATTGAGAAGCCACTCATCAGTGATGCTAATGCCCGTAACAGGAAAAGGTGGTGTTTAAGTCATAAAGCCTGGACTATAGACAGTGGAAGAGAGTAATATGGTCTGACGAGTCTTCTTTCCCATTGTTTCCCACTTCTGGCCGAGTTTACGTCTGGAGAACGCCATCTCAAGCCTATAATACAGACTGCTTGTTGCCAAGAGTGAAACATGGCGGGGGTTCTGTTATGGTTTGGGCAGCCATATCGTGGTTCTCTGCTAGCCCCATGATAACTGTGTCAGGGCACATGACTGCCAAGACTTATGTGAACATTTTGGCCGATCAAGTTCATCCCATGGTACAAACTTTGTTCCAAGATGGTGATGGTGTCTTCCAAGACGACAAAGCCCCTGTTCACACAGCTCACATTGTCCAGGACTGGTTTTCTGAGCACGAGGATGAGTTGTCCCATCTCCCCTGGCCACCACAGTCACCAGACTTGAATATTATCGAACCTTTGTGGTCTACATTGGAACGGAAAGTGCGTTCTCGTTATCCTCCGCCAACATCGTTATCTGAACTTGCCACCGTTTTGCAGGAAGAATGGTATAATATTCCCTTGGCAAACATACAGGAACTGTATTTATCCATTCCGAGAAGACTGCAAGCCGAGAAGACTGCAAGTTAGCTTGTTATATTTTAGGTTAATAATTCAAAATATTTTCACAAATTCTTTAATAAGTATAATAATGATTTTATTTATGATTATCTGAGTAATCACAAGTTTAAAGACTCCATGAAACTCCTGGAAAAATTAGTCGAAAATTAATGAAAAAAAAAAAAAAAAAAGATTGCAGAATTAATGTTTGCCAACGGGTTTCCTACACCATATTAAGCAAAGAAACACGTTTTTTAAAGGTTTTTCCATATTTTTGTCCAACCCCGTACATGACTTCCTTGTACGGCCTATTAAGGGGACTCGTACACCTTAAAACCCATAAGATCTTCGAATATGTGACTGTTGCAAGAATTGGAATAACTTATTTATTTTAAAAGATATTACTTCCAACTTTTTACAGCTGACTACATAATATAGCTGCTATCTGAAATAGTCATCAGAAAATTTGTGTTGCCACAAATATTTTTATAATTTAATCCGCTTTGTGACAAAATTTTTCGTCAAGTTTCCACCTTGCGCGCACAGTTTAAAACATTCTGTTGCATAATTTAATTCCATATTTAATATATAGCTTTTACAACATTTGGAAACTACTGTGAACCTAAATTCTAAGAATTTCATGTTAAATTTTTATTTTATTTGGAGTTGAGTTTATAAAATGTATTTTATTAAAAAAAATCTGTAATGTTTTCGTGCATAAAATTTTTTAATACTAAAATATTCATCAAATTTTTAGTTCACTTAGAAAATAGCGCCCATATAAAGAATTCTATGAAATTTCAAGTACGTACCATTAGCCATTTTTAAAATATCATGCGCGCAAGGTGACAACATGACGAAATATTTTGTCACAAAGCGGATTAAATTACAAAAATATTTGTGGCAACACTAACTATCTGGTTACTAGTTTCTAAAACAGCTATATTATGGAGTCAGCTGTAAAAACTTGAAAGTAATTGCTTTTAAAATAAATAAAATATTCCAATTCTTGCAACAGTCACATATTCGAAGATCATAAGGGGTTTAAGGTGTATGAGCCCCCTTAACTTATACACATTCTTTGCTGAATTTCATTTAAACTTAATTCCTCGAGTTATTAGAACTTAATTAACTGGTTCCTCAATGAAAGTTGAAAATGACATCAAATACTGCAAATTTTGAAACCCTGGTTAAGCTTTTCGTATCGACTGTAAAACTTTCCCAAATATTAGTATAGAAACAAGAAGACCACATTAAAAGTTAGATTTCGTTATTTGTTGAAAATTATTATTATTTAAAAAATTTTACATGGCCAATACATGAATATTTTTGTCATTTAAAACACGTTTGTAATATGAAGTATTTGACTAGCAACGATTTCGTAAAGAAAGGCCGGGCAAGGAATTTCAAGCCGGGTAAGATGGTGAGCATATATACATGTATATATACACGTTTGATACTGCCAAATTGCAATAAAAAAGGAAGATATGCATCTAGATGTTATAGCAGTTTCATATGCAAAATTTCAATATTCTACAGCTAATCGTTTTTGAGGTATGCGAGATACATACATGCATACTTACGTACGTACAAGACGTCACGAAAAAAAAATACCTTTCAAATCCACTTTAAATCCATTTTATAATCCGTTTTCGGAAACGGATTATAAAATAATTTGGAATTATAACGGATTATAAACGGATTATAAAAACGGATTATTGGAAACGGATTATAAAAAAATTTGGAAAAACAGGCCTCTGTTCTGTCACTAAGTAAAGACGTCACGCAAAAGGTCGTCAAAATGGATTCAGGAACGGTCAAAATGGACATTTCTGTTGAAATATGATACCCGAAATTTTTCGCGATTGCAATAATTCCTTTACTTCCTACACTGAAGTAAAAATTAAAAACGTAGCTGTGTTTATGGTATATAAGAAATGAAGCGAAATTAAATAACAACATTTTTCAAATTTACGCTTCGGTGAAAGAGTAATTTTGAATTACCTTTCAAATAAGTATATGTAATTTGATTAAATACGCTTTAACTCTTAATGTTTTCCCGGCTAAAGCCTAGAAGTAACTACACGGATAGTGGGCGTTGTTTACTTGCTTTAGGCCTTGAACACACATTTTTATGACGTATTGTTGGCTATGCCTCTTTTTAGAAGAAGGTTACAGTTATGCTTTAACTGATTTAATATGGAATTTTTATATTAGAGATATATAGCTTCATATCTGAAGGAGAGTTAGGTTATTTGAAATATTAGGTTTATAATGTTACCGCGCCAGCTCATTTTTATTACAAATTCATTTTTTTATTGGTTGTGTGTGATTGTAACCGCTTCATACAGCGTGTTAATGCTCAAAAAGGCATTACTAAAATTTATGAAACGACTGAAATTATTGAATGAAAAATTTTAAATTTATAACCGTTAACTGCTCAAAGAACTTTTTGATCATTTAATTAATATATCTGATTCTGGTATTTCCTGCATTATGGATGAAATACCTGAATTTGCATTTTTTAACCATTTGTAGGAAAAAGGGAGCATTGAAGGTAAGTTTCATAATTTGCTAAAGTAAAGTGTCGAGTACACGCTAAGTTTGCCGATTTCGTTGTCAGGTAATTACTTTATTCTAGTAAACTTCCTTTCGTCGTTTAGTTATTATTCTGGAAACCTTTTGAGAGGGAGGTAACTTCAATCAATGGAGTTGTCTGATATTTCTCTCTCGTTCACGTGTTCTGTATTTCTGAGTCCTATTTGTTATACTTTGAAAACGCCGAAAACAGGTCCCCTCTTTTATTTTCAGTACTTTGGAGTAGAGTATACATTGAAGTTTCAGTTATTATAGGGTAATCGTGCGCAGTGCCATATATTTATATGTAATATAATGACATAGAGTAAGCTGTAACAGAGGTAGAAGCTTTAGTGCGCTGTTGTGACTCCTATTAAGTTTAGCATTTCTTGTTTCTGTATTTATTTAATAGTTTGTTTTGTAATTTTGTTTGATGTATGAATCTGGCCACCAGTTTTGTTTTTGAATGTAATGATCAGAAAATTCCCGTTCTAAGCAGTTAAGTTTAATTTAAATAAGCAGCAGTTAAATGAAGTTACTGAGATACTGAATGTTTTTCATCATTAAAATGCACGCATCATTTTGATCATTATACTAAACATGTAAATAATCGCATTTATCTGTATGTATTTGTAAAAAGAAATAAATTGGATATAAAACGAAGTTGGATTTCGAGTCAAAACATGCGCAATTATCCAATATGGAGACTCACCAAGAAAAGGTTTTGGTTTAGGTTAAAATTAGCTACGTCATCAGCGTTACGCAAATCATGTGACACAGACTGACCAGAAATGACGCAGTCGAGGAAAGTCATTGCAATTTTTAGAATACGGCTAGGAAATACCCAAACTAAAAATCAGGAGTTAAAAGGCTATTACTAAGTTAAATTATAAAGCTGATTTACATGTTTTTTTCCCTTACATATACCGGGTGGCCATAATTAAACTGACAGTGCTCACAGTGTTCTGTAGCGCGATCTATTTGCGAGAATGATGCCACATTTTGTAGGAAGATTAAACAAGACGGGGGACGAAGGATACCGCGAAAAAATAATAGTTCCAAAAGTCACCGCTAGGGGAATATTTGGCGCTGTGTAATAGAAAATAGTGTGTTAACAAATGCAAATTAATACGGAATAAAATTACCTTTTTATTATGGATATGCCTTATGGAATATGGAATATGCCTTACAGTACGGTATGGAAAATCTTACGAAAGATTATCAACTTCTATCCGTACAAGATCAGCCGTGTACAGGAGTTACTGTACCCCGACCATGATAAGCGATTGACATTTGCTCTCACCTTTCTTGCCAGAATGGAGGTGAATGATGCTTGGCCGTGGAAAATCTTATGGGGAGACGAGGCCCACTTTTACCTGAATGGGACTGTGAATACCCAGAACTGCCGAATTTGGGATGATAAATCACCACATGCAGTCACAGCAATTCCCTTACATTCACCAAAGGTAACTGTTCGGTGTGGGTTCACAGCGGAATTTATCGTAGGTCCATTCTTCTATGAGAACTTTACCCCGACAGGACCAAAAACCTGTTCTGTTACCGGAGAGAAATATCGCAACATGTTGAACAGCTTTCCCATTCCGGCACTTCAGCAAAGACAATGCCTAAGGGAAATCATTTTCATGCAAGATGGAGCCCCTCCACACGTTGCTGTACGGGTGCAACAGATGCTACGACAGAAATTCACAACAGAAAGAGTCATTAGCAGCTACTTTCCAACTGCATGGCCACCTCGGTCGCCTGATCTTACCCCATGCGACTTCTGGCTATGGGGTGACCTTAAGTCTATCAAGGTCTATCAAGGAGTGGTCCAGGACCAGGCTACGTTGAAGGATAACATATCACGAACTGTACGGGAGATTCCTGCAGACATGTTACTTTCTGCTGTTGTGCATACTGTGCACAGAATGCAATATGTGGTCCACAACAACGGCAGCCACATTGAACCTTATTTGAATGCAAAATAAAAGGCAATTTCCGTATTGATTTACATTTGTTAACACACTATTTTCTATTACACAGCGCCAAATATTCCCCTAGCGGTGACTTTTGAAACTAATTTTTTTTTGTTTCACGGAATCCTTCGTCCCCGGTCTTGTTTAATCTTCCTACAAAATGTGGCGTCATTCTCGTAAATAGATCGCGCTACAGAACACTGTGAGCACTGTCAGTTGATTGATTGTATTGATTTACATTTGTTAACACACTATTTTCTATTACACAGCGCCAAATATTCCCCTAGCGGTGACTTTTGAAACTAATTTTTTTTGTTTCACGGAATCCTTCGTCCCCCGTCTTGTTTAATCTTCCTACAAAATGTGGCGTCATTCTCGTAAATAGATCGCGCTACAGAACACTGTGAGCACTGTCAGTTTAATTATGGCCACCCGTTATGTATATGATGTTCAATGAGAGCACTACTGGCTGTTCGTGAGGCCAAATTAGTTCATTTTCTGATATTTTTTAAGCAAAAACATATTCCTGTGTACACGGGAAGAAAAACAATAATGTATCATATATTATGTGCAATGTATAATGTATCGTTTGTGTATTTTTAATTTTTACTATTATATTAATTGTAAATTGTATTTCTAATGAGCCATTTTGTGTTTTAATTGTAATTTCAATCATTCCTTATCGTTATGTTGATGTTTTCCGACTTAACGATAAATATCGATAGTTTGACGATCTTTTTAAAAAAAGGTGGAAAATTCGCAAACTTGCATCCGGTAAGTAACCTTAGCATTTTAGTACACGGTGATTGTCCGTGCTGTTAAACTTTCTACTCGAAACAATGCATGTTTTTCCAAGTTTGCAGTTTTTATTTTTTATCGTGAGAGTAATATGCGTAAAGAGAATATGACGCCGATAAGGAGTTTAAGAAACAGTAAATGAAAGCTGTGTATGATGTTTAATTGCCGCAAAAAATAATTTTCTTCGTTCTTAAATGCTAAAACTTAAAAATTTTACATAATAATGAAGATTGCCTACTTAATATTATGTAAAGGACTGTGATCTTGTGTAGGAATAAAGCAATTTGTAAACACATTGAAATTAAAATGTTCCATGATGGGAATTTAAAGAATATTTTTTTTTGTATTTTTAATGCGAAAGCTTAAAAATCTTTGAAAATATTAAAGTTATATGAAATACAAGTATTTGAGACTGGGACGTTATTTGCCGTTTTAATAAGAGACAAAACTGAGCTATTCTATCATGTTGATTCAAAATAAACAATTTATTATGTTTATTTTCAGCTACACCAAAGCTTAATTATTAGAGATTTAAACATAAAATAAAGAGTTTAATAATAATTTAAATGAATAATTAACTAGTTACTAATATTTCAGCAGAAAATAGTAAATTAAGTACCCGCAGTATAAAATGCAGGATTACATTGTGACGTCATAGGCGTAGTATCACCCATTTATGAAGTGACTAAGCTTCGCCTTTGCAGTTTTGCCATACAGCGCATTATGAGCTCTTACCCCCTTTTTGGCTTAATTAATGAAATGCTATTTTAAGTTAATTAAAATGCCACAATGTAAGACTGTATAATTCAAAGCTATATTTAATTAATTAAAAGTGTTACTTACCTTACTATGATGTTCTATGAACTTTAAACTGTAATCGATAAATTGGGAGTCCATGAGCAAAGAAAATGTAAACCATGCATCGCGGGTATGGCAACAGAAATGAATATTCTGGGAACATGGTGATTGGGTATAGCTAGTTCAGTTTAATAAAGAACTCTGTGAATAGCTAATACTTTTGTGCCCGTAAAAATTTAAAATAAAATTATTGTACTTCAAAATGCCAATTTATTTGAAGAACCACTGCAGAACACTGAAATCTCATTACGGAAGAAATTTAAAATTCTTATACATTAAAAATGCAAAAACGTAATCATTTGATTCGGTTTTAAATTCAAGTTAGTTTAATTCGAAGGCAAAAACTTTATTTCTCCATATATTTTATGTAATGAAAAACAGAATATATTTGATTTCGCTTTTATGTTGGTAAACCGAAATTTATTATACGTGTTTTCCTTTTTCAGCTCAACAAGTCACGAAGTACTGGTATGAAGAGATAAAAACGTACAATTTCTTCCAGAATCCCAATTTATTGCATGTCAAAGCAGGTATTTTCATTCAATGATTGAAACTAAGTTATTTTAAAAATTAAAAACCAAATTCTAATGTTTGATTTATTTATATATACATCTTGTTTTAGAATTATAAAATTATTCATATATTAGAAATGAATTTTGAGGTTCGATGCTTAATGATAAACTTGAATACATTTTGAGTAAATCTCTACTATATTCGTGTTAATTTCAAATAATTAAACTGTGAACTGGGCATGCTGAACATACTCTTCGAGTATTTATTAATCTGGATACTAATTTCTACGATTTACCAAATAAGAAGGGTGATGAGAAACAGTATTGTATCAATAATAAAACCATCATTGGGATTCACCCAATTCAGCCTATTTCAGAAAACTCACATATGCTAATATGCTTTTTATTTGGTGAATCAATTGTTTTTTATATTTATTTAAACATTTTATTAAAGGCCAAAATTTTCGTGGAATTTTTAATTACGTTTTCTTTGTGATTGCTATTAAATACAAACATAAATGGTATAAATTCATAAAATTTCTTATTTCTGAAAATTAACAGTAAAATATTTAAAATTTCTTACTTCTTAAGAAGATAAAGATACCAGTGGCCTTGAGGTGAATATACACTCTATAACAAAAAAAAAAAAAAAAAAAAAAAAAAGACGGACCAAGAAGGAGGTGTCCAACGGAGACAAAATTTTTTGGATAGGAAGATTATGTACAGAATAGAATATGATTAAAATTTCAGAACAACTGAATAATTTATTTCAGAGTTACATAGTTACAAAGTAGCAACCTCAATAAGGTGTTGATCTACCTCTAGCCTGGATGCAAGCTGCCACAAGGCGTGGCATAGATTGATAAAGCTCCCGGATGGTCTCCTATGGTGTTTCTTGATAAATTTGCTCCAGACATTTGTCATTTGTATCTTGACAAATTTGTCGGGCTAGATCATCAACATTCCCTGGTAGATGCAGTCACATTCCCATCATATACCAAACATGCTCGATGGGAGAGAGATCTGGATGGTCAAGGAAGTGTTTGACAAGCTGTAAGATAGTTCTTAGCAACACATGTCGTATGTGGTCTGGCATTATCTTACTGAAACATAAGGCCAGGGTCTGAAAAAGGAACGGTAGCACAACTGGTCTCAAAATGTCGTCGACGCACCGTTGTGCTGTAAGTGTGCCTTTAATGACGACCAAAGAGGTCCGGCTATCAAGAGGTCACGACACAGGTGGAAGCGGGATTCCTCGCTAAAGACTATACGTCCCCAATCAGCATCATTCCAACCTGATCGAGCCAAGCATCACTATAATTTGGCTCAACAGTGTACAGGCATGAGTGGCAGGTGTTGGCACGAACATAGATTTTGCTCTATCAGCCATCTGTGAATGGTTATGGTGGACACTCGTGTTCAGGTCGCACGTCTGATGGTTGATAGCGACGAATCAGGCGCTGTGACAGCTGATTTGACAATCACTCTGTCCTCCCGATCTGTTGTGGCCCTAGGTCGACCGCTACCATCATGACGCTGAAATCTGCTATTGTCCATCCATTCTTGCCAGCATCTTCTAATCGCCACAGCGCTTCGACTCATATGATGAGCGATTATCCGATTTGCCCAACCTGCTTCTTTCATTACAATGATACGACCTCTTTCAAATTTTGACAGTTGTTTATAATGAACTCGAATCCTGTGGCAAGGCATTTCTTCAGTCTTTGAAAGGTATCCTAAGTCGCAATGCAACAGAAATTTTTAACAACAGTTCACACAGATCACAGATCATCATTCGAGTAAAAGGCATGCGGCCTGTTGAGGCCTTTACCAGTCTATATTTTTTAAGTTCCTAATGGCATAAAGATGAGGGGAAAAAATTCCGAACAAGCGGAAAGTCTTAAAGCACTGTGCGCGGATCTCATAAGAGAAAGAAGTACGACGCCTGTGTGGCGCCATTTGTTGACTTGAGTAGAATCTTCAGTAATGGCATATCTTTGGAGTGACGTTCATGTGGCGCCATCTGATGTCATAAGCAATGGCATATCTATGGCATAGCTTTGAAGAAGTAGATGCGAGAGCACATGCATTTAACATTTAATAAATAAATTTAACATCAGTCTGCCGCAGATCGGATAGTTTACTGGTTGCTTGCGTAACTGTAAACTGTTTTATTTCCCGTGCAATGCAGCGCGTGGCGGATATTATGAGAAAGCTAATCCGGAAAAATTTTAAATACTAGAGCACGTGCATTTAACATTTAATAAATAAATTTAACATCTATATACAACAGAATTCGGAAATATGCAACCGACAAAAACCGGCAACGATGAAAAAACAAATGAAATGTAATAAATAAATATCTTTATTATATGCGGCTTAAGTGTCTGTCGCCGATAGTTTATTGGTTGCTTGCATAACTGTAATGGGGTGAAGTTGCCACGGCACAGGGTTGCCGTTTCAATTGAGACGTAGAGAATTTCCTGTAAAACTTGCCATTGCTATGACCATCAATAAGTCTCAGGGCAAACGCTTAAGCGTGTTGACTTTTTTTTACCTGAGCCTGCATTTGGACACGGTCAACTTTATGTTGCCTGTTCAAGAGTTCGTGAAAGAACGGACGTAAAATTAAAAATAATGGATGGTCCTCTGCAAGGTGAGCTTAATGATGGAAAAATCTACACAAGAAGTGTTGTGTGCAAAGAGATCTTTGACATGTGAATTAACATTTTATTATTTAAATTACCTTTATTTATTGAGCTAGCGGTGGCTCTTAAGAAATGTACCGCCAGTGGTTTCCTTCATTGTACTCTACTTTAAGCAATTAAGCAAGTAGAAAGGGGGAAACCCCGTGGGGCAGTAAGCAAAGGGGCGTCCTCGCCATCTGCCCTGGGTAATTCAGTTTGAATTAACATACACCTTTGCACAAATCATTTTAATTTCAATTTATAATATCTAGAACAGCGGTCATTTCGTATGACCGGCGGGCTTTTTCTAGTACAATATATACAAATACAGTCCACAAAACCTGCTATACCAGGTACAAAAGTCTTCTTTGCAAGGTACGAAAATAAAAACTTGGTTAAATATGAATTAATTAAAACTTGTTTAAATGCAGTAAATGAAAAAATATTATATAATATACACAAGCCCTACCATTTAGAATTGTGAAGAACAGTTCAAGAACAGCTCCTATATATACTATATCTGCTGGATGCGCAGTTCTGATGCGCTGGAGATCGCAGTATTCATTCATTGGACACCAAATTTTAATAATTTGCATATCTGGTCAAAACATTTAAGCATACGAAATTTCAAAGCAATCGGATGATTTCTTCTTGGTGCGTCGATTTTTTTTATTGATTATATTGTTATTTTTTTTATATTTTTCCTGAGTAAGTCTTTTTTAAAAACTTGTCAGGCATGAATATGGATATTTTGAAATCGCAACAGGAAATCTTCATATAAACGGAGCAAATTTTATTTATCTATTTTATTTTGCTAAACGTTTACTTCTTTCAGTACGAAACTGCATCATATTTCACTTCTCTCCATGTTCAGTTACAATTACTAGGTTACTTCATCCTAACTGTTCTTCGCTGCCGATCAGTCAACGTGCGTTAGATTACAGTATGCTAGGATCTTGAACTGCCGGATTTCTATACCTGAATTACTTATGACTTTTCCCTGCCTCAGATTTATCAAATACATTGATTTCAATGCGCCTTAGTATCGATCACATTGCGAGAACTTTTATAGCAATTCGTCTCAAAACTATGCAGCATCTTAAACGTGTGTCGCATGGAACCCACTTACTATGGTGCTGATGGATATCGATATATAGGAGATGCAGAAATAAAAATATTCTGGTATAAGATAATCTCCATTCCCTCCTCTAATATATATTAAGTTTCTGCAATTATGAAGAAAAACTTTGCAAAGAAAATCTACTCTTTCCTTTTGAAATGTCATGCATTACTGTGTTAACTACAGCCATTTGTTTGAAAAGTAAGAATAAGAAGTTGTTTTTCTTTTTTTCTTTAGGCCACTTTACTCAAATGGTTTGGCGAAGCAGCACCGATTTTGGTGTCGGGAAAGCTCGATCTCGATGTGGAAAAGTGATAGTAGTAGCTAACTACAAACCAGCTGGAAATGTTATTGGCGAGTTTCAGGACAATGTCTTTCCACCAATCAACGATATGGATATTCTCAACGAAATCTGATGAGCATTTCTTTCCAAGAATAGGTCATTGTGTACAAACATAACATTACTAATATTTGTGATATTTTCTTTACCTATGATAGGTCGAAGGTGCTGCTGAATATACTCTGATACTTTGTTTTTACTTTTAGTTACACAAAAATAAAAAAATGCTGTTAAAAAGATTATCTAAAAAGGGAAACATCTTTTATTTATTTAGAACATGAGTATTTATTTAGAACTTGCGCAACATTGATTGCATTTCCCTTTTGTGTAATGGTATACAGATCAAAATAACCTAAGAAGAAATATTTCAGTTATTGATGCAAATTTATTTGATAAAATATGTATGAGCTTCCAAGAAGCTTCTGCCACATTAGACAAAAAAGGTTTTTTCTGAAGAACAGCCTAACTTTTATACTAGATTAACAATCATTCTTTATTAGGTTAAAAATGAAAATAATTAAGATTAAAAATAATTATTCCCATAACTGTACTGTGTATTATAGCTTCTAGAACTTTGTTGACAATACTTGCTGTATACTGCTATCTATTACGGCAACGAACGAATATTCACTGACGTACCTAAAATTGTGCATGAAATCTTGTTCTCTCTCTCTCTTTTTTTAAGGGGAAAAAAAGAGCAGAAACAGAAATGATAAGGATTTACTCAAATTTTCCTTTAATAATTATTTTGATTTTTCAGAATGACTTCCAGGTTTTTGTAAGAAGTTTAGTTAATTTAATATAAAAGAATTAGAATAAACATAATGCATATACTCATATGCTAAAAATGATTTTTTTCATTCAATGATTATTTTTTCCAAGAACGATTTTCGAGTTTCTTTAAAGATAAAATAACTGAACTGGAAATAGTAACTTTGTCTGATCAATATGATGCATTCGTTGTCTTATAATCGATAACGTAAAGAAAAAAAGAGCCATTTGAAATTTTAAATTAAGATAAAATTTAACCTTAGCTTCGTTAAGAAACCGGAAATCTTTTCAGAATACAAGCATGGAATTAAAAAGAGTAAAGCGATTTATTTTTATTCTTAAATGGAATTAATATCAACGATATTAATTTTTCAATTGAATTTAAGAACAGAGAGCAAATTTTTAAAAGGTTAGAGAGTAAATGGAAATATTATTTTTAAATTTTATTTGCATTTACGTAAGATTTCAGTTGGGCAAAACTCAGTCTAATATGGATGTTGACTTCAATCCAAACCTGCAGCATTTTTAGGGCAAAACGTAATTTTTTGGTATGGAATATATTTTCTATGAAGCCAAAAATATTCTGTTGACAATTTTAAAATAATATTTTGAAACTGATTTGAATGATCTGATATTTAGTTAAAAATTTTTATTTTTATTATTTCGTATTCAGACCGTACTGTATTTAATTAGGATAAACGAATGTTTTTTAAAAATCTAGATCAAGATATTTCTGACGAATAAGCACTGCAACTGAAATTTAGCACCACATTTTCCCTTTTTCTTTCTTTCTTCTATTTTTTAAGAGATAGAAGAATGAAAAAATGTTACCATTATTATTTACATTTTAATATTATTCCTTTTTATAACTGATGCAAAAAAGAGAAATTTCAGAGCTTTGCTTTGTTGTAACATTAAATTTCGAAAGCTTTTAAGTTAATGTTTTGAGTGTGTAATTAAAAATAAAAAATATATTAAAACAGTAAAACTAAACATGTTTACAGATTCATAATAAATTCAGCTGACTAGAGAAAAATATTTGATTTTTTTTTAATTTGAATTTGACATATTGGAAAAAGTTTGCATCTGCAGAAAAACTTAAGTTAATTTTGTTAACGTATTTTATAAAATATATTAAGGTAATATTTTAACACATCATTAACATCTATTTGACAGCATTTTATTGTTTTTTAGAATTAAATTTTAATTACTTTATTGCTGTATTTAGGTTATATGAGAATATTCTAGCGTCTTACAAGGAAAGCTGCCTGACTTCCCATCGGCAATTGTCACGAAGCTTTCGAGGCAGATAAAATGTATCAGGAAGAGCGCAAACTGAAGCATTTCGCAGTTGCCGGAAGCCTCCGGAGCAGAGCCTATAAAGTAGCACTTGCGCCTAAAGTACGTACAGCGACAAACTGGCAAGCGTAATTTACCTGTACGTTACAACATTGTTGTGATAAGGCTCATTTATGGCAGCTGACATCCATATTGTACGGCAGAGACTGTTGTTTGAGTAGTGCGATATAGAGGAGCATCGTTGACCTACAGCAAAGTAGTATTTGGAAGTAATAAATATGTTGCATCATTATCCATATGGCTTGTAATCCTCATGATGTGGTAGAAATATAAGGAGAAGATGATGTAAAAGTACCTAACATACGACCCAGATTTAAAATAAGTTGATAAGTGCGTTGTATGAAAATTGTTTGCTCTGTCGGAGCGTCGGACCAAAAATAATCCTAAAGAGAAGGTGACAGAAAATACAAGATAACAACGAATACAGCGTGGAAATCTGTCAGGATTCTTGAGCCAGGTGGTACATTAGAACACAAAGTGGTATGAACTTGCTAGCATTTGTATATCAAATTCCAGAAGGAGCATAATATGGGACTCGCTGACGATAGAAAACCTGAAATTTCACAGATATTTAAGTTAAAAAACAAGAAAGGAAACAAAGAAAATTAGATACAAAAGTTTGCCAATTTGTTGCTGTAAATATCGCGGGCGTAATATCGTACTCATAGTTTTGGGAGATATCGGGCAATTGTCAAATGCTATACTTTGTCGCATATTGCTTTGTCCACATGCTTGTTCCCCCTCCGAAAGATTCGTGGCAATTCTCATCGGAAAGAGTCATACATTTTGTTGTTACTTACATTATGAAAATTATGATTTTTTCAGAATATTAATTTTTAATTCTATTTTTTCAGATTTAATGTTTGTAAAATAAAGTAAAAATGTTTGAGAACTAGTAAAGCATAGATAAATTTTTGTGTTGCAATTAAAAAAATCCCAATGTGATAATTTCCCGAATGTGTATTTCATTTCAAGAATTCATTGAAAGGGATTTGTTATGAAATACAAAACAGAAGGCGAGAAGAACAATATTTATTGCGAGAAACGGGACATTTGTGACTCATCAAATATTTTTCACTAAGAACAATCAGTTTCCTAATGTGTAACTGAATTATGTAAATATATGTATGCATGTGTGTATGTATCTGTATTATATTTGTATAAAAATTAATTACTCTGAATTGTACAACTGGAATGATTCTGCAAAGAACCGAATTTGGAAGAAGTTTATTCTTCGTAATCAAAGTATTTGTACTTTATTTACATGTAGAATATAAAAAGCTGTTGTACATATGAATGATGTAAAACGTAAAAGAGTATATTACGAATGAAGTTTAGAATGTATAGTGTTATTTATGTCAAACGTTTTATTATATTTACCAAGCTTACCATGTTTTTATTGATGTGAATTAAGTTTTTTATAACACAAGATTTACTCGGATGCGAAAGCAAATCGTTGGCAGCGTGAGGTAATCAAATGTTAAAAAAGAATTCTGTAACTTTTAAAAGGAAAATTTTAGCGCGAAAATTAGTTTTTGAAGATTGTTACAATTTTTTTAATTAAGAATTAAATTAAGCAAAATTAAGACATATAGTCATGGATGATGTGAGAAATTAAGTGTTTTCTAAAATAGATTTCAGCTTGAATAAGCATCAGGAATGACATAATGAAAATCATACGATTTTAAGTTCGAAACAGAATCTCCTGCTTCTGGTGCGAGAGTGAAAATGGTGTGAAATGACACATGTGCTTGCATAAAATTGTAGAAATTTCTAGTTAAATGATAGAAAACGAAGTCACTGGCGCCATTTGCTTATCCAAAGGTGAAGGAACAACAGCTATGAAAAAAATATTTCAAGAAATCTAGATAAAAAGGGATTAAAATTGGGATCACTAACCAGAAGCGAACCATGTTTATAGATGTGAAATGCTTCTAGAAAATCGAAGTCATCGCAGAAGACGTTTTAGGCTGAAGAGAATTGGAAAATACGGTTTGTTTGTCAGGACTGATATGTAATAGAGGATTTTTTCCCTGAATATTTTACACTTTCCAAAAATTATCACTTCTTATTTTGTCATTCCCATTTCCTCAGCTGAGGAAGTAGTGCAAATTTACTCAAGTTAAACTTATCCCTATTGTTCATTATTTGCTTTAACTTTTAGATTTAAACTTTCCAAAAAACAAATGAAATAAACTTGAATTAGAGAGTAATGTATATACACGTTGTCTTAATTGGCTTAATGATTCATAGAAACAAATTTCCCTCTGAAGAGGTGGGATTCGAATCTTGAATAAACTTATAGATGTCTATGTGTCCACTACATTATGTGTCGTTGTAGCCTCTCGATTTATTTAAATTAGGGGAAGACGCGTACAAGAACCTTGGATTATATCCTCTGAACTGCTCTTGACCAGACTTGGAATACGAATATTGGGCAAAAGCCTAATTTTTATCACTGATGTTCTAAGGTCTCTGAAACATAACAATGCACTCCTGTGTTTTGATTTCAGAGCTTTGTCCGCTTAAGGACTCGAAGTAAGCAATAGCAAAACCAAAAATACGTGTGAAATATGTCTGAAACAGTGTTTTGAACTTGCTGTTACATATTTTGCAGTTTCTTAATGCTGCGTGTTTGCATAATATATATGTAACTGATGTATATATTAATAAAGTCCTCTTTTGATGTAAGAAAACTAAAAAGATAGTTAAAAGTATGTGCATTTTTATTGGAAATTAAGATGCCAAATAGTAAGCGATTAAAAGTTTATTATATACATAAACAAAGAGTGCACTTTCTGTAATATGAATTGGTTCTGAACTGGATATCGTATAGAAGTTATTTCTGAAAATCTTATACGTATGCTTTGCTAAAAGGTATATTTACCAAATTTGATTTAGCAACTAGAGTTAACAATTTTGAAAGTAAGTCCAAAAACAATTTAGAACTAAATAGTTAAATGAATAATTCTCACGCTACCAATTGTGCTTGAACATTTTAAATCTTCCAAAACTTTAAAGTAGCTTGCGAAATATAATTCAAATACCTCTTGCCTTTTGCAATTAGGTATGCATTCTTTCTCATTATAATTCTGAAAATATAACATCTCTTTCCGAAATTATCTTTCACATTTTGTAAATTTTCCTCTTCAAACTGAAACAAGCTAGATTAGCGTTTCTTGATGACTTTCGAGTTTATCCATTACAATATGCGTCTCTTTTACCACACACGTCTGCGATTATAAATACTAACCACGTTATGATAATAATCACATATATTTGTCATAACTTAATATTTAACGTAAAACAGATATTCACTTTTTAAACTGACGAATTTATTTGAAAATGCATCTATCATTTATTTGAAAATGCATCTTAAACTTTCTTGTGTGGAAATTAATGTCAGTTATATGTTGTATAATAACTGATTTCTTCAGCCAGTAATTCTTACAATGCCATTTATCTTTCTATATTTTATTGAATTTAACTCTGAAAAATATTTTTCTTTTGTAGATTTTTGTTTTCTTTAGCTTCCAAACTCAAAATGTTAAGTCGAAAACTGATCTTCGCATAGTTTAATAATCTTTGATGACACTGAAAAATTGATAGCCTGTTTAAATAGCCGTAGATACATTTTGAGATGATCCAAAGCTTTCTTATTCAGACTAGCTCTCTTGCTAACGTGGGCCTAGCCTTGTATATTCCTTTGCACGGACGTTATTAGGATCCAAGTAGGATCGTCTCATATAATAAAAATATTCACTAAGTTAATCAATCCTATTAAAGAAACCTTTTATGTTTTTATCTTTGTTCATCATTTGCATGCTTTCAAGAAAGTAAACAGACCTCTTTTCCTGCATATAGTCTTTCCATTATTTATTTAGCTTATTCTGAAGCATAAAATTTTATCTCTTTTATTTCTTTTCTGCTGTGTGTGCTTCAAACATCGATCTTAAAGTACTGGAACAAATATGAAGTGGATATAGCACAGATGCTGTTTTTCAATATTTTTAATGGAATGGTAAACACTTTTACTATAGCAATTTCAATCGAATGGCGAACACTTTTACTCTAGCTGCGCTATAACTACTTTTATATTAATATTTTGTACACAGCACCAGCCCGATTCAATGATATCTTTGATTTAACGTGGTTCATACAAACTTTGATTTAACTATTGGTTCATACAAAAATGTATAGAAGTAACAAATTACCCCTATTTTAGCTATAGATTACTTAACGACAGCGTTTCGTAAAAGTTAATATTTCCTAAAGCCACACATAGGTTTCAGATCGAGCTAAAGCAAGCAATAATACTTTTATTCATTCATTTATACTTTTGATATATTTTTAACTGCGATTCAAATGCGTGTGTACAATATTATGCATTTTTCAAGCAGAAGATTGTGATACGGAAGCTCTTGAAGAAATTAACGAATAAGCAGTGAATATGAATTTCTGCTGCTATGAAAGTGAAGATGAGGTGAAGGAAATAATTAAGAAAGTAATTGCTGACGAAGCAGCGCCCAAAAAATACCTCATAATATTTATTGCTGAGGAGATTTTTTAAAATTAATTCGTTGGTTTTCAAAAGATTAATAATGCATTAAAATTTA